TTAACTGTACGTTATCTAACAAACTAACATTATATAATCAAATTGTAATAACTATTAGATTACATTAATCTATTATATATGGAATTGAAGTTGTATTGCAATAATTATCCACAAGCATGTTAATTTAGAAGCTTCAATATATATATATATATATATATATATATATATATATATATATATATATATATATATATATTATAGCTTCAAAATTAATATGGTGGTGTAGTGTTATTAATATATAGATTAAACATTTTTATTATATATATTTGTGATTTTGAGATATTTGTACTTTAATTACTAGGTATATATGGAAAGTATACCAGAACATCGAAAATGGATGTATAATCGATTGTTACCTGGAAAGAGGGGAATCACTAATGAGTTTTTAGCTGGTGTTGAGCAATTTGTTAAGTATGCATGTACGCTTTTTGTATACGAGTTGACAAATACAATTAGGTGTCCATGTAGTAAATGCAAGAATAGAGTACACTTATCTGCTGATGATGTCCGTGTTCACTTGTATAAGAAAGGATTTGAACCGTATTATTGGGTATGGACTTGTCATGGTGAACCTATTCCTACAGTAAACGAGCAAGTTTTGGAGACACGTAACGAAAATAATCAATATGAAACAATGGTGTTTGATGTAGGTGGTTCATCATTTATTCCATTTCATGTGGAAAATAACCAAGAAGAAGAGCCACATACAAGTGCACAAAACTTTTATGATTTATTAAACACGGCTAGACAACCTTTGTCACCTGGTTGTGTTGATGAAACAGAGTTGTCATATGCATTGAAGATGATGAATATAAAGGCAACTTTTAACATTCCACAGCTAGCAATGGATCAAATATTTGAGTACAATAAGCATATAATGGGTCCAAATAATCGAGTGCCATTTAGTTATTATGATTCAGAGAAATTGATTTCAAAGCTGGGGCTTGATCATGAAAAGATTGATTGTTGTGTTAATAGTTGTATGTTGTACTATAAGTCTGATATCAATGAGCGACATTGTAAGTTTTGTGGCGAGGCTCGGTTTAAACCACGACCGCCTACTTGTGCTCGTGGGAAAGAAGTTCCTAAGAAAAGGATGCATTACTTGCCTCTCATCCCTAGATTGCAACGATTGTATGCATCACAAAGTTCTGCTGAGCACATGAGGTGGCATTATGAAAATCGCCGTCAACCAGGTATTATGTGTCATCCTTCAGATGGTGAAGCGTGGAAATACTTTGATACTCAGTATCCCGACTTTGCAGCAGATCCTCGGAATGTGAATGTGAAGTCACTTCTTTTTGTGACTCAATTGCAGAATTTACAAAACATTCATGACTTTGAATTTATTTTTATTGTCAATAGAAAAAGAATCGTTGGGATCCATTGGAGGAGGATACTGTTCGCCGCATCTTTCAAAAAAAAGGTGCAAAGTTGCTTTCAGACCATCTTCGAGAAGCTCGTGAGGGCTTGGCTAAAAATAGAACCAAACCAGACTGGATTTCAGATGACGTGATGGCTGGCTTAATACGCATTTGGGAGAGTGAGGATTTCAAAAAGCTCTTCGAAAAAAACAAGAAGAATAAAAATTCAGACTGCGGCGGACTAGGTGCATCACTTCACAGTTGTGGTTCTATTCCAATGACTGAGCATCGTAGAATATTGGTAAGTGTTAAGTGTAGGAATACCAGAACAGTATGTGTATTTCATATATTGCTGTACAAGTAGAAGGCTTATTTATACATTGGTTGAAAGACTACTAGCCATAGGATTCAAAATTCAGTAACAGTAAGTTTGAAAATAATTAATGTAACTCTAACAACCCTTATTCATCTAACATTAAGTTTGAAAATAATTAATATAGTTTATCCTATAATATTATACTGAGTATGTTGTGTATTTTGTATATTGTTCTTGAATAGAAAGAAAAGTTGGGAGAAGATCCAAGTCATGCAGCCTTGTATGAACACACTCATAAGCGCAAAAATGGAAATGGAGCATATGTTTGTAGAAAAGCACTGAAAGTTGTTGTAAGAAATATTCTTCTTATTACTTCTATTCTAATTATCACATGAAATTATTTTAGTAGATGAACATGTTTTGTCTTATTCTATAGGATACAGCGAATGACTTACAACACACTCAGTCTAATGTATCGAATGCACAGTTGTGGTTGGAGGCCACCGGCGGTGTAAAGAGAGGAGGCTATGTATATGGGTTTGGCTCAGTTACTCAACATTACTTCTCGGAGGCTTCAAGGGTATCAAATTCTCAATCAGGAGTGTCATCTTCCAATGCAGCTTTGATAGCAGAAATTCAACAAATGCGGGAAGAGAACATGATGTTTAGGGAAGAGAACAAGATGTTCCGGGAGTAGGTTGATAAGATGGGTGCTATATTTTCACAGTTCAGTCCAAATTCTGAATGGTTAGCCTCCTTGAATGTAAACAACTCTACTTCAACCAATGATGAAACACAAGCACCAAGTGATGAAGATTAAGCGGTATATATTTTCATAACTTTTTGTTGGTGTATGGTAATGTTCTTACTGCTATGTATTTTTTAGTGGTTAAGCACAATATAACTCCCTAACCTAGTAGTTAGTAAAGGTAGGTTTAGGTTTTTTTTAGACAGTGCTAGCCTCTCTTTTGTTATGAAGTCATTAAGTTAGCACATGCTTTTTTTGATGGGAGAAACTCGTACATGCTTGTTCGTGTTCCTAACATGTTTATGGTGTATGAAAATAGCATGTTGTTCGAAGTAATATGAATATGACTATATTTTTGTTGTAAATGTTTTTTTGATGTTTAAATATATTTTCAAAAGGTATTATGTGCTGCTGGAATGACAAGGATGATTAGAGGGGATATGGCCCCTGGAACAGTGGTAGTATAAGGCCACTCTAACCTAGATTTGTGACTGATCTGCACTATTGCTTAGTTGCAGAAATGAAGTCTTGTATGCTATTTACTTGGCTTGCAGGTAGCTTATGTTTCTGTGATTGAAGCTCAGCTGTGCAAAGGGAGACTTGGTTCCCCTATTACTGAGATTGAGCTGCATTAGATTGAGCTGCATGAACCTTTGTCTGCTGATGAGGTGGGACTGCCTATTTGACTGCATCCACTTGGTCTGGTGGGGTGGGTAAATAGGGGCTTGGCTTTGGTTGGAGGAAACAATTCTGAAATTTTGAAGAAAAAAAAATCAATGCATAAGCATGTTGAAAAAAGAAAAAATGAGAAGAATTGAAAAATGAAATGGTTTGATGATGTGTGTTAGGGGTAAGATGTGAACAGAAGGAGGTGTGTTGGTGTGAGGGTGGGTGAGGGAGGCCATTGCTCAGTTTGAGAGTCCTATCCTTCTTTGACCGCGATGCTCAATCTTTAGTAGGAGGGGGACTCCTTGGATGCCTTGCACGGCTGAGGTGCACCCACGAATGCATAAGGCACTTGGTGCCATTTTAGTAGCTTAGTTGTAAGATTTGGAGTTAGTTTGCAGAGTCACTTTTGAGCTCTTTGTATAGACTTTGAAAGTTTTATTAATAAATGTAAAATTTCCAATATATATATATATATATATATATATATATATATATATATATATATATATATATATATATATATATATATATATTCAATTTGAAATTTAGTGTGTTCGTTAATTTGTTGATGATATAATTTATAATAATAGGTATAAATAAAATTATGATAATATAAAAATAATAAAAATATTTAATATGATTTAAGATTTTCCTACCAACAGTTGGAAGGAAATTTATAACATTAAGTACTTGATATTTCCATCCAACAGTTCGTCTGAATTTCCGTCCAACAATTGGAAGGAAAATACAAAAATATGATATGCTCATTTTCCGTCCAACGTTGGTAAGAACTTTCGACCAACATAAAAAATTGGACGGAAATTCCCACGTTTTAAAATGGTGGGATTCTATCCGGAATTTCCGTCCATTTTTTGTTCGTTGGACGCTATTTCCGACGAAAACCCGTAGTTGGACGGAATTTCCCACAATGGTTTTTCCGAACGTTCGTTTCGGTCGGTATGTTGGACGGAAAGGTCGTTTCCGACCTATATATCGCGTTTTCCGTCCAACAAACGTTGGACGGAAAACGCGATATTTCCAGCAGTGTCGTAAGTGTGAATCTGCTATATTTATGCAGCTTCATTCATTTGATATGTTGAAGAAAATCTCGAGTTATACAGCTTCATTCATTTGTGTGATTTCTAAAGTAATCTTGTACTCTTATTCATTTGCCGTGTTAAAAAGTGGCCTTCTGGTTTGATCTGAACTAGACTTGTTATTTGCAAGTAGAAACACACTCATGCAGGGTCAAAGTGGGTGACAATGGATTTGCTATCCTACAGGTTAAAGCAATGTATGTAAAGAACTTGCCCAAAAATGTTACTCAGGATCAGCTGAAAGAGTTATTTGAACATCATGGAAAGATTACCAAAGTCGTTCTACCTCCTGCTAAAGCAGAACAGGAAAACAGCAAATATGGTTTTGTTCACTTTGTTGAAAGGTCAAGTGCAATGAAGGCTTTGAAGAATACAGAGAGATATGAGATAGATATTACTTTAGTTTTCATCTCAGCCTTTTGGATTTTAATATTTTGATACCATAATTCTCAAGTTCAATCATGCTTGGCCTGATGCCCAATTTTACGGATAGGTAAAGTTCTGGATTGCTCACGTGAAATTAATGTACATTGTATAATTCAATATATCTGAGAGCGACACATGGAAGCCTTTCTTTTCAGAAAAGGTAAGCAAAAAGCTAATAACATGTAATGGAAATAAACTATGAAAATACAAAGTGACTGTTTATTATCAAATTCAACAATAACGAAAATAAAATATGACCAACGAAAGTTCTACCCCAAAAGCTAATAACATGTAATGGAAATAAACTATGAGAATACAAAGTCACTGTTTATTATCAAATTCAACAATAACGGAAATAAACTATGACGAACAAAAAGATCCTACGCCTCGGGGCAATTACGACTATCATGGTGCGCTAACTGCTTGCAAGTCCTACACAACCGTTTAGCCTCAGTTGCTTTCTCGGCAATCTTCTCTCTTGTCGATTTCAATCGCTTCCCAGACCCCTTATTCTTAGCAATATTAGGTGGCCGAACAACCTGATCGGCTGACGTTGGCGAGCCACAGAACGAATGGATAACACTTACCTTAGCAGTACTTGGGGTAATAGCCGGGTTTCCATTTGTGGATGTCTCACTATGAGCTTTCAATAATGTTGCCAACTCCAACAGGCGGTCGGTATTTCCACATGCACGACCGATACAATTGTAAAACTCATTCCATACTTGCGTGAGTGCAGAATTTGCATCCGTAACAACACCTATGTTGTCCTCCCTACACACCTCGCTGTTGTAGGCTCGAGTCCATCTTGCAACAATATATTGCGGCGGAATGATGTCTACGCGGGAATCCTTTAACAACACAAACACATGCCTGCACAACAACCCAACCCTTTGAAAGATTCGACATGAGCAATCAAATGACAAGTCATCATTATTCGCGTACACATCGAATAATCCCCCATCACCATCTTCAACCACGAAGTGTATAGAATCGTCCTCACTCGTCTTAGATACGATTCGGGACGTGACACACCCTGCATGAATCTCCACTTGCACATCATAAAAAATAGCTATGGTGTAAATAGCTGCGGCATGCCGCTCGATCTTCAACGGGGTTTTCATCTCTGGAAACTTACTTTCACAATCCGCATTAAGCTTTGCTTGTTTATGCCGCTGGGTATCTATTGCCACCTCGAAGTGCAAGAAAAACTCCACTAAGCTTGCGTGTTGGCTCATGTAACTCCCGAATACACTATTCTATGCTTTTGACCGTGATGTAGTTCGTAATAACCCTCCCATGAAGACGTTGTGGAAATATGAAGGAATCCAAAGTTCACGTACCTCAAACATTTGCTTGAACCATCTGTGCTCACTAAGTCCGTACTTCTCCATAACATCATGCCACCTAACCTCGAACTCTTCAATTTTAAGTTTCTCATTCCACACAATAGCATTCAATGCCCCACGAAACTCTTCGTTCTTTGCCAATGTTGACCCTACCTTCTCGCTAACCTTGGTCATGATATGCCACATACAGAAACGATGGCGAGTTGATTCAAACACCTGTGCAACGGCACTCTTCATGGCGGGATCTTGATCGGTCACGGTCAACTGCGGCACATGCCCCATGCATTTCTTGAAATTCTCAAGCAGCCAGGCATACGATTTTACATCTTCCTTAGATATTAACCCTATAGCAAATGTAATGCATTTCTTGTGATGGTCCACTCCAGTGAAGGGAACAAAAACCAGGCTATACTTGCTCATATCACGTCAACGAACAAGGATTATGACTCATAACACATTATGGCAGACACAACATTTTATTAACTACAAAGTACTATTTAAACATGCTAATAGATAGTACAACATTTTATTAACTTTAAAAGCACATAGTAGTATAGTACCCCACCCAAATTAATTATCAACAAATTACACATGTCATGCATATTAATAATTTAATATGGCCTACTATGCACACATTGCACTCATGCATGCAAATAAGCATAATGCATCGTCCCCATAGTGCACAATCATAGCACCTGTGATGCACAAATCCCTGGACGCAAAAAAAGGTTAGAATGCCGCCCGCCTACCACTATTAAACACAATCACTGTGCACACAACTTCATAATACCGTACACAAGGAATAACAAAGAAAAAAAATTACCTGTTCGTACTATACGTGGCATCGAACGACATTGCATCCCCAAACCGTGCAAAGTTCCTTTTAGCCACTGGATCCGCCCAAAACACCCGACATAAATGGTCATACTCATCTACATCGTACTCGAAGTACATCTCCGGGCACACCTCTTTTTTCTGCCGATACTTGGCAAGTACTAGATGCGCATCTCCAGTCTCAATATAAGCCATCATATCACGTCTGAAATTACAGAATTCCACACTGGTTGCCCCTATTTTTGAATAATCACCTACCATTTCTTTATACAATTTAAAAGATTTAACGGGCCCAATATTTGCTTTGGCACATTTGACAATGAAAATCTGATGGCCAAGATCCAACTTCCGCTTCACTCTAAAAAATGTTTTTGACACCTCTGAACACATACAATGATTATGCCGCTCTTCTAACGAAAACACGACAAATCCTCCACTTCCTACCCGCTTAAACATAATCCGTGCATTACACCCCACCCTATTCGATGTCCTACGCCTAATAACCTCTGTCCCAGTTTCACCACGCGATCCATTCGCCCCAATACTTAAAATAGTTGGTTGTTTAAACCCCTCACGGGAACACAATACGTACTTCATCAAAATCTCTCCCTACCCGTCCTTCTTTTCTGAGCTTCGACGTATATCAAACCCAACTATTCCTGCATATTTTGCATAGAACTCAATAGCATCGTCAACATTTGGGAACCACTGGCTTAATTGACGGATCGCAGATCGGAGTCCAATATTTCTTATTTCCAGGGGAAATTTCCATGACACAACCTTCGGAACCACCAGTATGACTAGCATGCTCTGCGAAACAAAATAATAACAAATTTATCATATGCACTAAAAAAGACAACACATGCACACACCCTAGTCGGACTCCGCATAGGTACGCTGTATCAAAGGGATTAAAAAAAACTCACCAGCTACTGAACCTTCCATCGCCGTTCAAAGTCTTTGTCGCAACTTGTATTAATTACCCTCTGACAATGACGCTAACTCCCACCGATAGAACCAGTCTCTGAACGCAGAGTCTTCGTCACAACTTGTATTGCCCTCTGAACGGTGAGAAGATACAAAAGCGACCAAATCCTTATATAATTAGACTTCCTATAATCATGCACAGAATATCGCTAACTCCCACCGATAGAACCAGTCTCTGAATGCAGAGTCTTCGTCACAACTTGTATTGCCCTCTAAACGGTGAGAAGATACTACCAATTCCTTTTTTTTTTTTTGTTGGTGAAAGACCAATTCCTTATATGATTAGAATTTTCGAATCCTTATATGATTAGACTTCCTATAATCACGCACAGAATATTTTTAGAATAATAGCTAATATTTTGATTCAAATCATTCTGACAAAAACACCCTTACAATTACATGACTGATCACTTTATTTTCCATTCCTGGATCCATCTCGACCGTTGGAATCACATTAATTAATGGGTTGGATGAGTTCCTAGTTCTCAACTAGTTATTGGTTCTCACTTGAATATAAACATATATATATATATATATATATATATATATATATATATATATATATATATATATATTCTTTTTATTTTAAACAAATATACAGCTTATATATAGTTGTACACTTATTTCTATAAATTCATAATGAAATCAATTTACGACTTTTGTTGAAAAACAAAGTGGTTATGAAATTAAAATATTGAGAACTGATAGAGGTACAGAATATATTTCTTTTGATAATTTTCTGAAAGAGAAGGATATTCAGTACCAGATGACAGCTAGATACACTTTACAACAAAACAGAGTGACTGAGAGGAAGAATAGGTCTATCATGGATATGGTGAGGTGCATGTTGAAATCTAAGAATCTTCCTAAGCCTTTTTTGGGCAGAAGCTGCTGCTTGTGTTGGCTATGTTTTGAATAGGTGTCCAACTAAGAGTGCCCGTGATAAGACACCTGGAGAAGCTTGGAGTGTGAAAAACCATCTATAAGATATCTTAAGGTTTTTAGATTTTTGGCATATGCACATGTGCTAGATCAATTGAGAAAGAAGTTGGATGATAAAGGTGAGAAGTGCATATTCATTGGTTATAGTGACGCTTCAAAGGTTTATAAACTATACAATCTTGAAACTAAAAAGGTTGTTATAAGTCGTGATGTCACTTTTGATGAATATGGTGCTTGGGATTGGTCAGCTAAAAATGAAAGGTCAGTTGTTATTCCTGTTGTTAAAAATATTGTTGAAGAACAACCGATTCCAGATAATGTCCAGTCTCCTTCACAGCCAGAGCCATCAGTTCGACGATCTCAACGCGAGTGCCACTTACCAGCTCGCTTACAAGATTATGTTTTGGGTCATGATAATGACATGTTTGATGAAAAAATTGTTCAATTTTCTCTTTTTACAGATTGTGACCCTCTATCCTTTGAGGAGGCTGCTACAGAAACTTATTGGCTTAAGGCGATAGATGAGGAGATACGTGCCATTGAAAACAATGGTACTTGGGAGTTAACAGATTTATCTCCTGGAAAGAAGCCAATTGGAGTAAAGTGGGTTTACAGAACGAAATACAAGTCAAATGGAGAAATTGACTATTTTAAGGCACGGTTGGTAGCAAAGGGTTACAAGCAGAAACCAGGTATTGATTATTTTGAGGTTTTTGCTCCAGTAAGTAGACCTGATACAGTTCGAATGGTTATTTCTCTTGCTGCTCAAAATGATTGGAAATTGCATCAAATGGATGTTAAGTATGCTTTTTTGAATGATTTTCTTGAAGAATAGATATATGTTGAGCAACCTACAGGATTTGTGAAGAAAGGGGAGGAAAATAAAGTTTACAGGTTGAGAAAAGCTCTATATGGCTTGAAACAATAGCCTAGGGCATGGTATGGTTGCATGGACTCATATTTTTTTCGAAAGTGGTTTTATGAGATGTCCTCATGAGCACACTTTATGAGATACCAAATGCACAGATTCTGGTGATATTGTTATAATCTGTCTATATGTTGATGATTTGGTTTTTACTGGAAATAACTTGAAGCAAATCTCAGAATTCAGGGAGGCACTCATTAAGAGGTTTAAAATGACTGATATAGGCTTATGTCTTACTTTCTTGGCCTTAAGGTTGTTCAAATGGATGGTGGAATCTTTATTTCACAAAAGAAGTATGTTGCTGCAGCAAAGCGAATTCTGGGAGATATGTCAAAGGTACGAGTAATGATGGAATTTTTTACTCTACTAATGAAGTAGTGAAACTTGTTGGATATATAGACAGTGATTGGGTTGGAGATGTGGAGACCAGAAAAAACACGTCAGAATATGCCTTCTATCTTGGTTCAGTTATATTTTCTTGGTCTTCAAAGAAGCAGCAAATTATAGCACTTTCAACCGCAGAAGCAGAATATATTACAGCAGCAAACTATGCTACTCAAGCAGTTTGGCTGAGGAGAACTTTGGAGTTTTTACAACACAAGCAGGAAGCATCTACAACTATTTTCTGTGACAACAAGTCAGCAATTTCGTTGTCTAAAAGTCCTGCCTTTCATGGTCCCAGCAAACACATTAATATCAAGTATCACAAAATCATAGAGTTGGTTGCTAAAAAACAAATCAACACTAGGTATTGTTCTAGTGAATGTCAAGTTGCAGATACTTTTACGAAGCCGTTGAAAACGGAGACATTTTTTCAAATTGAAGAAAGAAATTGGGATGACCAATATATCCAACTTGGTTTAAAGGAGGCAATATTATAATAATAATAATAATAATAATAATAATAATAATAATAATAATAATAATAATAATAATAATAATAATAATAATAATAATAATAATAATAATAATAATAATAATAATAATAATATAATTATTAAACCAAGTAGCAATTAGTTTCTTAGAAATTAAAATAGTACGTGGGTCATGCTTAGCATTAGTAGTACATGGGATTGCAACATGGTAATACATGGAGCATGTGAATCATTAGTTTAGCATCAATACGTGGAGTTCGCAGCAATACGTGGAGCATTATTAGCATCAATTTAGGATTATTGTTATTCATGTTTTACTATAAATA